AGTAATTTTTTATTAATATTTTTTAAATTATTTAATCTGATTATTCATAATAATTCAACCTAATTCAAACTAGACTAAATTACTAAATAAAAAATAAATTTAAGTCATAAACATTTAATATTTTTAATTAGATGAATAATTAATTTATTGTAATAAAATAAATTTAAATTAATCTGTCATCATAATTTTAAATAAATAATTAATATTATTATTTTTTATTTATTTTAAAAAAATTAATTTAATATGTCTTTATTAAATTTTAGTATATTATTTTTTCAGTTAGAAGAATAAATAGAAGAATAGAGAGAAAAACAAAACAAAATTAAAATGAAAAAGGGGAAAAAATGAATAAATGACAAAAAAAAAATGAAAAAATGAAAAAATAGTAAAAAGAGAAACAAAATTATATATAAATAATAAACATATCGGGTTTAGTAAATAATTAATATAAATTTAAGTAATTTTTTTAAAATATGTTATATTATATTACAGAATTGATTTATTGTGTGATGGGATATTTTTAAGAATTTTCAAACGAGAATCTAAAAATTTAATGGTTTTAAATCTAGTTATCTTACATGTAACATAAATTAGAAGATTCCATCGTATAAATTTTATTTAATGTTTTTAATTTAATAATAATGTATAAAATAATATATCTAATAATCTTGAATTATTATATCATTAATATAATATTAAACACGTATTATTTATTATCTAAATAATTTTATAGAAAATATATAAATATCATTATTTTATTCGTTCTATATATTTGATATATATTTTTATGTTACAATATATATATATATATATATATATATATATATATATATATATATATATATATATATGTGTGTATATATATAATATATATGTGTGTGTGTGTGTGTTAATTTAGAGGCGCAAGAGGTGAACATTTCCCAGTTTCCAATCCTATACACAATTCGGCATAGAAGATTTGAAGGTAAAAATTGTCCAAACCAATCTGTTTCTGATTTCAGTCTTAATTTTATTTTTTGACAAAAACACACATGTTAGTTTCTCTTTTATTATTAGAGTTTTTGTTTTTTCTTTCTAATAAATAAGTTTAAAACATCACAATGATAATAATATAAGAAATCGAATTAGTTTTCAGCTACTAATCTTTCTCATATTATGTAAAAAACAACATCTTATCTTATTATACTAATATGATTGTAGTCTTTTATTATACTAACGTAGTTTTATAAATATTAAATCTCTTATGAAGAATAATTAAAAATATATCATAATTTTGTTTTGTAGTTGCATACATGAAAATATATTCATTGATTTAAAATTTTAAGGTTTCTTTAATATTTTTCATTTGTTATGAAGAGATAATATATTTTATTATTTTTCTTCTGAATAAAGATGTTTTTTATTTTATTTCATTTTGATCTTATTTCTTATGATTAGTTTTTTTTTCTAAGCTAAATCGGATCATTTAATTATTGTTTACTTTTATTTCTTTCACTTCAGTACTTATTTTTTTATGAGTATCTAAACTGAGTTTATCTATTTTCTTTATTTTAATGATAAAATATTGTTAGTAGTTGTAATAATTATAAATATATAAAGATTTATTTCAAAAAATTAATAAAATATAATAAAAATAAAATAAAATCTACCTATTATGTGTAACCAATTAGAAATGATATAGGATATTTTATAAACAAATAATTATCAAAAAATAACTAGGCTGAAATAAATTATTATCTCACAATTCAATTTTTTTATTATGTCTTAAAGTTTAGTTATTTTATAATAATAATAATATCTTAGTTTGAATTAAATTTTTTTAAAAACTTTATACTTTTAAATTATTAATAAAAAATTATTAAAAAAAATATATTTAAATGTGATATCTTTTTAGTTTTTAATTTTAAATATATAAATTAAAATAATTTTATCATAATTTTTTTATTGAAATTAAAATATATATATATATATATATATATATATATATATAATTGAATATAATAATAGTTTTAAGTAAATAGATCATGACCGAAAAAATAAAATTTTATATTTTAAATAAAGAATATTTGAATATATGTATTAAAAGTTTTAAAAGTCTTTCTAGCTTAAAAAAAATATCTTTCACAATTACTTATTTTTAATACATACATAAATATTTTACATATAGAATTATGTAACTCGATTTTTTCATTATATCTAAAAATTTTATTTTGTCGAATTCAAAAGTTTATGTTAATATATTTATAATAATTATTTTTAAAATAATATTAATTATATATAAATATATAATAAATATAGGTTATAAAACATTAAATTAATAATATATATTTAAATAATTATTAATAAGATAAATATTTTAAAATTTAAACAATACTGTCAATTATAATTAATTGAAAGTAACACTATCGTTAAGATAGATTATAGGGTGCTACCACTTATACGTAATTTACTTTCGAATTTAAAATTTTATTTTATAGGCAATTTTTTTAATTGAATTTTTTAATAAATATTAATGATAATTTATTTATTGTTAATATTTGTTGTTTTGCTCAACTTTTTGTTGCGACAATTTTAATAGCTAAATTATTGTAACAAAATTATATATTTTTATAATAAGTTTAATTTAAATATATTTTTGAGCAACTTTATATTTTCTGATTCAATATATTGAAATTTTAATTTTATTTAATATAGAGTATAAACATATATAGAGTAAATAGATATTTTTCATGAAATTATAAAAATAAATTTTAACTTATAAGATAAAATATACAAAAATAAAATAAAATAAAGTATAAGAAGTTGAATAGTTTTTATTAAATAAAATAAATAAAAAACTATTTAATTCATGAGATGGTTTGTTTTAAAAAATATATACAGGACTAATAAAATATTGTATTGTTTTTACCTAAATAATATATATATATATATATATATATATATATTTATATATATATATATATATATATATCACTTCTACAATATTTTATTTTTATATTTTAACTAATTAATTGAAAAAATAGGTTTTTCAGTATTAAAAATATAAAAACAAATATATCGACCAAATAGTTTTTATGAAAGTAAATGGGATATTTTTTTAAATCACAGAGATGTATTTGTTTACTAAAAAACATTCACTACAAATTTATTTTATTTAGTGAATATATATTTAATTACATAAAAATATTTTTTATATAAAATTAGTATTTAAAATAATAAATATTTGTACATGATTAATTTTTTTGTGTGTGTGAAAGTGAATAGAATTTTTTTTTCTCATGGACGAGGTTTTAATGATTTTTTTTTCAAACAAAATTTAAATTTTGGTTTAGTTAACTGATATACATTAAGTTATACAACAAAAATAAATATTTTTAATATAAAATGTGTTTTCCATAAAATCAACAGAAGTTATGTGTATATGGTTAGACATATAAAAGCAAATACAAAAATATATTCTTCGCTTTTTCAGGATGAACTTTGTACTAAAGTATTTTATAATAAAAATTTAAGGTTTTTTTATTTAATTAATATATTCAATTATATCACAAAAATAAAATAAAAATTATATAAGTTAGTATTTTAAAATCAGTAAGTTATAACAAATCTTTATAAAAATTAATCAGAAACTTTTGTATTTTCTCACAATGATTAATTTTTTTATTAATTATTTTTATTCCTTAAAATTTAATATTAATTGGAGTAATTAATATATATTTAACTTGTTTATACCAGTAATAAAACTAGTTATTATGTTTTTATTGATTGTTGTTTAATTTGTTTTTGTCTGAGACAATAAATATGATAAGTTTTTGTTGACTTAAAATAAAATATTATTTATAATTTTTTTAATTTCTATATCACAATAAATATATATTAAATGAAGTGGAAAGGTAAAATTGGCAAATAAATAAATAATTTTATTCTTAATTATTTAATAATCACAATTATATATATATACATATATATATATATATATATATATATATATATATATATTAAATAGATAGATCATAAATATAATATAAGTGTAGAATACATTATTAATTACTAATACTAATTTAATATTTATTAATAAAATTGTCTATACCAGTAATAAAATTAGTTATTTGTTTTTTATGTTTTTCTTTTGTTTAATTAATATCTGTCTAATAAGTCAACAAATATAATAAATTTTCTTGACTTTAATAAAATTTTAATAATTTAATTATTTTTTATTTTTATTTCTACATCACAATAAATATATATTAAATGCATCATATATAAGGATTAAAATTAAATAAATAAATAATATTATTCTTAACTTTAAAAATCACACTTAAATAAAAGAAAATTTTTTATACACACACACACACACACATATATATATATATATATATATATATATATATATATTAAATAGATAGATCATAAATATATAGTATATAGTGTATAATACATGATTAATTACTAATACTAATTTAATATTTATTAATTATTATTTTTATTCCAGCAATAAAATGAGATATCTAATTTTTATGTTTTTCTTGACTGTTATTTAATTTAGTTTTGTCTAAGAAAATAAATATAATAATTTTTTGTTGACTTTAGTAAAATATTTATAAACTTTAAATGAAGCGTAAGGGTAAATATGACAAATAGATAATTAATATTATCTTTAATTTCATTTGAATATTTGAAAATCACACCTAAATAAGAGCAAAATATTTTTTTAAAATTCAATTGAATACATCCTTAATTTCATAAATACCACACATTTTCAACAGAACTTATTTAGTTTAACAGTCGTCATATTATCTTATCAATGATATCACTCATCACGAGAGTTATGTCTTATACAGAAAGACCTATGAAAATATCATACCTTTAAGATCTTGTCGTTTAATCATGTTGCATCATTTAGGTCCCAACTCTAGAGATAAGAGCAGCAAGCATTGGTGAGAGATTTGGTGTAACCTCTAAATATAAATATCTCACTATCACATTGTGTTTGTCGACAAATGGCAATTAAGAGAATCATTTCAGCGACTTATTTCCTCCTTTTTCTCCACCTTCTCCTCCCCTTCGCCTCATGCATCAGCCCGAAGCAGGTCTTTCAATGTTCATCTACTATTGGTCTTTTTTATTTTCTTTTGTCTTCTATGTGGACTGTAGTCTGATGTGAAACAATTCTTCTTGGGTTCTCACAGGTTTATTTAGTTGAGTTGTGTGGAGATCACACTAGTGGTGATAAAACACTGCATGAAGTTGGGAATATCCATCACTCTTATCTGCTTTCCGTGAAAGAAACTGAGGAGGAAGCACGAGCTTCTCTTCTTTATAGTTACAAACATAGTATCAATGGCTTTGCAGCATTGCTTACCCCAAATGAAGCCAACCAGCTCTCGGGTAAAACTACATAATTCTTCAACAGTTTTGGTTTTAACATTCAGTTCTTCTTACCCTCTTTTATCCATATGTCTAACTTTGGATAGAAAATATGGACAGAAATGGAGGGAGTGATTTTTGTGCATAAGAACCAACCAAGGATCTACTCTTTGCACACCACTAGATCATGGAAATTCGTGGGATTAGATGGTCCTTTAAATCCATGGGAAGAAGACTCCAATACAGATGGAGAGTTACTAACCAGAGCACAATATGGGAAAGATATCATAGTAGGAATGATTGATAGTGGTAATTTATCAGTATAAAATCTTCCTTTTTATCTTACTAATAATTAAATAAATAATGTTATTCATACCACATTTTTCCACAATATTTGTTTTCTCCTGCCATCATATTACCTATATATCTTATTTCACATTTTTTTTTCCTCTTTGTACGTAACATCATTACTGTAATCAAGTGTGTGACTGTTCCCATTTTACTCTATTCATCTAAATAATGTACGATATAATTATATAATTAATCAATGTGTTATTGTGTTCGTGTCTGCATGATGATATGTGTCTATGTGACTGCGTTTCTACTTGCAGGTGTGTGGCCAGACTCAAAGAGCTTCAGTGATGAAGGGATGGAGCCTGTTCCAACAAAATGGAAAGGAGAATGCCAAAATGGAACTGCTTTCGATTCGTCTCGATGCAATAGGTGACGTAGCTTTTCTTTATATCATGCATGAATTTCTTCATTTTTTTTTAAATTAGAAGGATATATACATATAATCATATTATAGTTTGAGTAAGACATAAAAAGTCATATTTCACAGAAAATAAATGTACTTGGAACTTTGCTTTATTGTTTTTCTTGAACGGTGTAGTGATAGCAGTTTTTAAAAATAGAGTCCTAAATTTGTGATTTCTGAATCAAGCTTCAATCTAGCTTTTTCAGTACCAGTTACATTACATGTATTACAAAATGACAAGACAATTACCTTTTGATATGAAAGTTCTTCAACGAACGTTGGACTCTTTGAATCTTCAATGAACTTTGGAACCTTTGAATGGTTTCCTTTATGAGTTAGCCAGCATTAGTAGGTTCTTTCTTCATTTATTTAATCTTGAACTGAACAGCAACAAATGGCTTAAATATTACGAAAGTAAAAGTTCAAATCACTGTCTGTTGCATAAATTATGATCATGTCATTGTCAAGGTGTATAAATATCCATATACATATATCTAAAGGATGACCAAAGAAAGTGTCCATTACACTACATGTCAAGGGAGAATACTGTGAGATTTTATCATTTTTATATATAAAATAAAGAAGAACATTTAACTGAACCACTAAAATATCATAGAATTATATTCCTAGCAAATTGGACATGCAAAGAATTATATAATTAATACGTGGGATTCTTACCATAACCTTTTGGATTAATTGAGAACCATATAGCTGACATGTAACATGGTTTTCTCTGGATGGTCATTTTCATTCCTATAAATATATATTATGCCATTAATTTTCTGAGACACAATGATAGGGTCAAAAAAGGCATTTTGAAATCCAACTTTCACGGTAGGTGGGGTTAAATTCTAAATAGAATATATATAGAGGTTGTTCGTCTAGATACATATGATTTGTAGCTTTTGTCCTTTTGACTTAATTGTTTTTGGCTTCTTTTATTTTGCATCTCGTGAGCTTCTATATGTGTATCTGTATCAATCTCTTCCTTTTTTTCATTTTTGGTTGTGTCAATGTCTTTTCCCTTGGCTTGTGGTATGTGACTGTGTGTATACATACATTCCCGTAGTCTTGATCAAGATGATTGAAGGAAAAGAAAAAATGTGCATTATTGAAGAGGTCTGCACTGAAATGGTCAGTGCATGCCAAACACCTAAACATGTGCACGAGAGACAGAGAGAGAGAGAGAAAGTGACAACGTTTTCATCTGTATGTATTGGGATGATAGACCGATGAAAATTATGTACCTCTGACAAGTCTTTGTTTCCTGTTACTCGTGATGTTTCTGAATCTGAGCCCTTGACTCTGAGGCGTTTAATTAGATATGTTATATTTATACTAGAACATCAGTAGTAACTTTTTTTTTAATATTTTACTTATTTAATGTCACGTTTTAAATATATAATAAATTTAATAGATCAATTAAATTTTATGTTAAATTATAATATATTAGACTACAAAATTCATTAATTTAAATTATTTTTTAAAAGTTCAATTAAAATTTCATCATCAATTCATTCGATGAAAAGTTCATTTAATTTTTCTATTAATATCTTTTCATTGATGGCTATCAAGTCCATTCATGAAAATGTATTTTTAAAATGTTTTTAAAAATAAATTTTGTAATACAAATATTTTTACACATTAAAAAAAGTAAGTTTAAGAAAAAAGATTTAATTTTGGATGACTAATCATCCATGATATTACAATAATGTGAGTGTGTTTGACCCTTACGTTTTAATTATATATTTATTTGTAATTGTGAATATATTTAATGGTATTGAATATGGTTGAAAGTCAATTGTATAAAAATAATAAACCTATTCACATTATATCTGTTTGAACTATACTAAGTTTAAAAGTCATGTTGTCTTCTTAAAGTTTCACTGTATAGATTAAATTGTTCATTTCATTAGTCATCATATTAATTCATCAATTTAGTAAAATATGACGAACTATAAAAAAAATGTCACGTGAATGATACTGTTAGTTCTGAAACTGACAATTGACCAATTCGGTCTAACAACCAAAATTGGCACTGCTTATTTGTTTCGTTGGGGGGAAGGGGATTAAAATAATAACAATGATTTTAATTTGGTTTGATTAAGTAAAGTAAAATATAAAAGTGAGTTAATCTCATTAATACTTCTTCTCTCCGTATATTCTCGTTTTTTCTATTTTTTTTTTTAACTTTTACTTTATTTTTCTTTTTCTCATTTACCATTAATTTTCTCCTCTAAATCAACAGAGATTCTTAGCCTTTTACTTTTTCCATGATTTTGACCCGTGCCCATATCCTCAAGAATCATAATTAACATGAAGTTTTCATATTTGGTGCAGAAAGATCATAGGAGCACGTTACTACTTGCACGGTTACGAAAGTGTATTTGGCCCTCTAAACGAAAAGGAGGACTACAAATCAGCACGTGACAAAGATGGCCATGGAACGCACACAGCTTCAATAGTTGCAGGGCGTGCAGTGGGCAATGTCTCAGCCATTGGAGGCTTTGCCAAGGGCACAGCCCTAGGTGGGGCCCCTCTGGCCCGCCTTGCTATATACAAAGCATGTTGGCCAATCAAGGGACATTCAAAAGACGAAGGGAACATATGCACAAACATTGACATGCTCAAAGCCATAGATGATGCCATTGCTGATGGCGTTGATGTTCTAAGCATTTCCATTGGGTTCAGTGCACCAATCTCTTATGAGGAGGATGTGATTGCTAGGGGTGCATTCCATGCTGTGAGGAACAACATTGTTGTGGTGTGCAGTGCTGGTAACTCTGGCCCTTCTCCTCAATCTTTGTCAAACCCTGCACCATGGATCATCACTGTTGGTGCTAGCACTGTGGATCGGTCCTTTCGTGCTCCTATTAAGCTCAGCAATGGCACAGTCATTCAGGTAAAGTTAAGTTTATTAACAGTGTGTTTGGTTGCATGTCTATGTGAGAAAAAATGAGTCAAGGTGAAGAAGATATACATACTCTTAGTAGCTCTTCTTATCATTTCATGGTGATTCTCAAGTGGTTCTTAAAGGGAGCCTGCATAATTGATGAAAAACCAAATAGAAACCGATAAGAGTTAGACATAACACTATTTATAAAAATAAATGAAACATTATCATTGGGTTCTATTCTAAAAATGAATTATTTAATTGATAGAAAAAATATATTAAAAAAAATAATCTGTCATATTTTACAATCAATTTTTTCTTTTCAATTTCAGAAAACAACTTTTTTTCGGTTCAAAAATTATATTTTTGAAAATTAAAATTTCTATGTTTTATATTTTCAATAAACAATACAATAATTGCTCTTAAGATGCATAAGAAGATTCCTATGTTGAAAATTGAAACCCAATAGGCCTAACTCAATTCTACAGAATTTCTCATAATCACATGATACAAGATCCACTCCTACACGATGAACTTTAACTCGTTGAATTTTGCTTCTTTTTCTATGTTATAACAATATCAGGGTCGATCAATTACTCCACTCCACATAGGAAACAACTTCTACCCATTGGTTCTTGCTAGAGATGTTGAACATCCAGGCTTGCCTAGTAATAATTCAGGGTACATTTTCAGCACTATTTATTTTATTTTATTGTTGCCTTCTCGTAGATTCTGATTATGTGAATGAATAATAAAACGTTGAAAAGGTTTGTTTAATTCATCATGCAGGTATTGCTTGGACAATACCCTTGAACCCAACAAGGTAAGGGGGAAGATAGTTGTCTGCCTTAGAGGGCAAGGTAAAAGGTTGAAGAAAGGCTTAGAAGTTCTAAGGGCTGGTGGGGTTGGTCTTATCCTTGGGAACAATAAACTAGATTGGAACGATGTACCCTCTGATCCTCATTTTATTCCAGCCACTGGAGTGTCCTATGATAATGCCTTAAAACTCATTGACTATGTCCATTCTACCCCAAATCCAATGGCACAAATTCTACCAGGAAAAACAGTGTTAAAAACCAAACCAGCACCCTCCATGGCCTCCTTCTCTAGCAGGGGTCCAAATATAATTGACCCCAATATTCTCAAGGTACTTATTCCCACATCACTTGATCACTACAGTCTATATCCATGTCCTTTTCTATTGTCTTCATAAGATTATTTTTTTATAAATAGTCTGTCTCAATGTCCCTTATTTTGTGGAGAAGAAGACAGATTTGGTCCTAGATAATATATCTGCCACAGTTGTCTCAAAATACTTTACTAAACACTATATTTGAAACCTTTGTGTTGTGTCATCGTGCAACTGATTTATCTCTTGCACATGTATCAAAAGTAACATCAAAATTCTTTACTCCTTTTTTACTTTCAGCCTGACATTACAGCCCCAGGAGTAGACATATTAGCAGCATGGACCGCTGAAGATGGCCCCACACGAATGACATTTTACGACCAACGAGTTGTTAACTACAACATCTTTTCTGGAACTTCAATGTCATGCCCTCATGTTGCTGCTGCAGCGGTTCTTCTCAAAGCCATACACCCTACTTGGACCACTGCTGCTATAAGATCTGCCCTCATGACTACAGGTAACTTCAAGATGCTCGTGATCCACCCCTTAGATGATTCACCTATAATTCTTAAATCACACCTAATAGCTTACGTAGTGGGAGTCATAAACATTGTTTGTATAGAGTTATAGACCAATCTAATTTGAAAAACCAACAAATAAACCCAATCACAGCATATTGGGATGCAATTTGTCATCTATACAAGTGGAATGATTTCCAAGTCTATAACAACATCATTCCCAATTTTCCTGATCTGAATCCTTTTGTCTTCTTTCAGCCATGCCAACAGACAACACTGGTCATCCATTGACTGATGAAACTGGAAATCCGGCAACACCTTTCGCAATGGGGTCTGGCCACTTCAACCCCACAAAAGCAGCAAATCCTGGTCTAGTTTATGATGCCTCCTACATGGACTACCTTCTTTACACTTGTAGACTTGGAGTAACAAAACACTTTAACACTACATATTACTGTCCAAAGTCATTTCCTGAACCCTTTGAACTCAATTATCCATCCATACAAATCCATGGACTCAATTACTCTAGGACTGTTAAGAGGACAGTCACCAATGTTGGTAGGAGCGGGAGTATTTACAAGTTTAGTGCCGTATCACCAAAGGAATTCTCCATCACAGCCACTCCAAATATTCTTAAGTTTAATCATGTTGGGCAAAAAATAAACTTCATCATCACAGTGACAGCAAACTTGGGTCAGACACAAAGCAACCATGGCCCGGATAAGTACTACTTTGGATGGTATGCATGGAGTCACCAACATCTCCATGTAAGAAGCCCAGTGGCTGTGTCTTTTATGTAGAATAACATCGTGTCTTCTTATTTTCATTACTTTATGAAGTACATTTTCCTTCTGCAATTTTTGATGCTTTCCGAAGGCCAAAGGCCAAATAGTTGGAGAATCTTGGAGAGACAGGAAACAGATAGGACACAGATTACTAGAGTGGTGCCAGTAGGATCATAATCTTCAGAATGTTAATGTAATTTTGTTTGAGGATTGCGTACAATATCGACACTAAAGAAATTATTGTTTTTCTGCCCCTTGCTTTCTTTTGTACCCTCATTATATGAGCATATTTTCTTTTAGTCTATATCTTTTGTTTTTGGCAAATATTTCTAGTTAATTGAGATTATAGGTATCAAATGAAATAATGTTTATAGTAACTATTTAATATCACCACTAGAATAAAAGATAAAAAAAATGATAGAATTTTATAATGGAACAAAATTACAATTCTCTCTTTAAATATAAGGAAAAATAATAATATATTCTAAAATATATATATATATATATATATATATATATATATATATATATATATATATAAAGAAAACTCAATTCCTATATAAGATACTAATAAAAAAAAGAGAAGAAAAAGATATATGAAAATTGACAAGATAAACATATGCTTCTTTTATATTAGAAAAGATAAATATCAACTTATAAAAGATCTCTTTTCACGTATCTAATAAATTTATGTGGATTATATTTTAAGTGGGTTATGCTTTATAGGATCTGTCCAATAAGATGTCTTATTAATGAGTCATTTTGTCAGTTTTGTAAAAAAAAAATAATAAATAAATAAATATTATATATTCACAAGTTTTGCTCTGAATATAGCTATGAAAATTGTCATTTTACAATTTAGGGTACACTGTCCCGATCCTTCAATGTAGTGCAACCTCTGATTGATCAGTAGCTATGTTGGATCTGGATACACAATAATGAATCAGACTGATGAGCCACTGATGCAGTTGCAATAGAACAACAAGTAGTCTCCTGGGCATATATTGATTTACCCATTTCAATTGGTTGATTCATTATCTTCCCATGCTTCTGTTCTAACTCTCACGCGTTCACCGTTAAAGTGAATATACTTCCATTTAATCCCATATCGTTTTATCACCAATTTTCGCTTCTCCTCTTCGCCCAATTCTCTAAAGGCTCTTGCCACTCTCCTGACCGTATCTTCATCAGGTTTTACCCGCAACTCCTCCATGTCTGCAAATACCTGAACTTACACATTAGGCCGCAATTGTTAAGGCATACAAGAGTCTAGTTCAAATTGCAGAAAAAAATTAATGCAAGGTGTAGTAGGATTCATGGTACAAAGAAAGATACCTCTATGATCTTATTCGGCATATCATGATGATCATATATCGAGATCATCCTAGAAAACAGTCTTCTGGAGACAGAGCGCATGTGGGTATGTATGATCATATTCCACAATGATTCAGCCTCATCTACCCTCTGGTCCATATCAAATGCCAGAAGAAGGGTATCATAGGTTGCCATCGTTGCTCCTTGACCTTTGCTTAACATCCACTTTGCTACCTGTGATTTACCGAGGACTAACAATCTGTAAGATTCTTTTCCATTCCTCTTAAGTAACCAAACATGAGATCATCAGGTCTAGAATGAAAAAAGGTATCGTTCACATAGCACAATGAGTTCATTTAAATCATCCAAATATGTGTATAATTTGTCAATCCTGCGATGTAAAATAAATGCAGTTAAAAGTTATGCATATTTTACCAACTAAACAAACTGAATGGCATTCCCAATAAGGATTGAACAATGTCAATATTGATGAATGAAATACTATAAGAAAAGATAAAAAATATAAAGCGTACAGATGTGTGAAATTTATAAAATACATTCATCATTCATGTCTATTTGTAACTAGAATACATACTGATATTAAACATTTTCATTTATTCAGTACCTCAAACCAGATGCTACACTTTAAACACGCCTGAGCAATTTCAGCAATAGTTAACACGCAAATCCATCAATCATTTCTTGAGCTGTGACAATTTTAAATCCCAGAGAACTTTCACCAAGAGATATCAGCTCTAGGGCTTGTTATGAAAGCATAATTTTTCAATCATAAAACAAACAGAATATTTTCTATCAAATATTCTTTAAAAATTCATAAAACAAAGTGCTTGGTATGATGCAGAACAGGAATTATTTGAAATAGTTATGATCTTACTTGAATTACACGAACCCACTGACCCCTTTTCCTTAAGATTTTTAAAGCCTTAGCTGCTGCTATCACTGGGAACTCTGTTTCCCATGCTGTCCATTTGTCTAATGCCCCATAAACAGCTTCTTTCTCATTAGGGAGTTTAGAAACCTGTCATTTCAAGTTTCACAATGCACAAAATCACATGATACTATAAGATAAAAAGAACCCTCCCGTCGTTCATTAAATAAAATTATTTAACTGGTACCTTTTTTTAATCAATTAACAGTATTTAATAAATGGTTCATTTCCTACCCTATATTACCCGCTTCTCCACATTCATCTTCACCTCCATGGTCCAATAACTAGTAAGAAATCAAGAATTAGTAGAAGAATTGAGGGAAAGCTCTAGAAAACTCCAGAAGCCCAATGGAAAATAAGAGAAAGGAATTATCGTTCTTTGTGTCAGGGTGAAATCAATGTGCTGAATCTATTAACTGACCATAACAGTACGCTATTTATAAAAATGTAAGTTACAGTTAAAGATAGTAACAAAATAAATGAACCTAACTAACCCATAACTGACAGACTAAGTTTAATTTTAGTACACAGGGTAATAAAAATACCAGATTATGGCAGTGCTGATGAATGCGGAGAATCCAGTTATAACCCAAATCTAAAATTATGAGTCAAAAGGATATCAATGGGTACCAAACATACAGTTCTAACAAGAGTGAGTGCCTTTTGGCCAGACTGAGCTGAATCTCTACGTTTCCACAAGTGGTGATCTTTCTTTCCTGTTGTCTTCTTCCCTTTTCTGCATTCCATGTAAAACAAATCATTCACATAAACAATAATTCATTGAAAAAATAATGAAAACACAATCAATAACCTACTTCTCCATGGGGCCACCACCTTTTGGGCTAAATTTGGATCTGACAATTGCGCATTGGATACAACTTTTCTATAGTCCAGAGAAGAATCTTTCAACATCTCAAAGCCAAATACACAAAATGAAATTATTATGCTATTTTATTGAGCCGTTGTTTACCTTCAGTGAGACCCTTATTGTAATTGCTGATAATTTATCCCCCAATAGAAGGGCTCTTGTTGTGTCCATCTTACCCTGAGTCAGAAGAGAAGAATAAGTGTTTAAAACAAAAAAAACAGCTTCTTTGTTGGTTAAAAAAAAAAACAGCATTACCTGACATATCCGTGACAGGAGAAGAGGAGAAACAATTGAGTTTAAACATGTCATGGACATCATGATTTTCAAATTGGGAGATGTGTTATCACAGAGTGGAAGGGAAACATACCCTCTGGAGTTATCAAAGCTGCACTCCCTACAATTCAACAAACACCATCATTCCTTTTCACTGAACACAGTCTCTGTAAAAGCCTTGGCGTGTCAATTATCAGTACCACTCGAGCTTTACAACTACACTTCCTAAACTCATTCTTTGGTGCTAAACTTGTTAAAAACAGCAAAGAAGCTTGCTTACACTCCTTCAGACGGAGGTTTACCGGCATTGCTAGTTAGTTGAAAGAACAAATTGCTTCATATTTCATAACTTATTATGCAGAATCTTTAAGTTGTTTGTCTTTTTAACACCATTGTGCTGGGTACAGAACCTAGTTATACATATAGCATGTATCTACACATATCATGTTCAAAATTAAGAACTCGCTCATTTCACTACCTAATTATACACATAATAAAACACATTCAAATTATAATATAATAGCTATACATTGTATAGGTAAATATTTTTACAGTGGAAATCAATTAAAAACATCCTACATAAGACTTTCGTAAAAGTAAACAAAAGTGAAGTATATGATGATTTGTGAGTATAGTGTAAAAATGGTTTACACAATCAAAGCAAATCTTATTTTCTCTTAAATTCTAAACCATAAAATTACCACATTTCAGAATATTTTCTTGTTATGGTTTGGCCGAAGAATTTAAATTGTCTGCAGTCGACAACCAAACTATTAAAAGATAAATCGCTCTCGCTTTTCAGTTTCGCTTAGGCGTTCCTTCGAATACTTGATAGGCAAAGCAAAACCAACCCCTGTTCCGAAATAAATCATTCTGACAAGCTCTAGAAACCAGTGTTACAGCAAATGAAAATTGATCAAAACATAAATAGCAGAATAAGAACATGCACAACAAAAAAATAAATTAATAAAATAAAAAAATCATAGTAGAAGGGAACACACTTGGACCGACGCAATTGATTGCATAGTAAAATTATACTGCGGCTAATACTTACCCAATAAAATAAAATTTAAAAATTTATTCTCTTCTGGGTCGATCTTTTCTTGGCGTCGTCAGCTACGACGGAAATTTTGCGCCAGGCATAATATCTTAACAGATGTACCATTCAGCGCGCCGTTCTGTTAATTTCGTCCTCTCTCTCCTGCAACTCTTCATGCTTGGGTTTGGAGTTTTGGGCTCAGTTTGTTCTGGCCCTATTTATCAGCTGACTCAGAAAAGGAAAATGTTATTTACACCACCTTTTGTTAATTACCATTCCTCCCTTCTAAGTGTGCATGTCATGGACATACATTTAAAGATTCACCTTCTGTTTGCATCCTTCTCTTCAGATATATGTTTGGACAAATTTATTTATATTTTTAAAATAAAATTAATTTTTCTATAAATTAATTTATAAAAAAAATCTCTTATATAATTTTTTTTATTTTTAACTTATGCATAAGTTCACAAAATAAGTTTTTGAAGATAATTTGATTTCTTTTAAATAATCTATAGAGAATTTCATCTAAACAAATATACTCTTAGTTTATATTCATTTCACTCTAACGTGAGAGTATTTATGATTCTCCAATTGAATAAAGGATTTTTATTGAGAGAATAATTTATAAAGCATCTCTTCATAACCCTTGACCACTTGAGCATCTAAAATTTTTAATTTATATTTGTTGTGGAGTTGCCATGCAAATTAATCTTGTTTTGGGATTGAAGTATATATTGGAGGAGGTGAAAAGGAAGAAAAAGAAAATAAAAAGTGAAATGGGTTGAATTGAGGGAAAGAATAAAAAATAAAAATAAATAAATAAAAAATTATAGAAGATAATATCGGTTTAATTGATTCAAATATTATTTTATAATTTTAAACAAAATTATTTATTATTTAAATTTTTTTATTTAATTAGTATTATTATTATTATTATAATTAAAAAGGAAAAATAATATTTAAAAAAATACAGTCAATTATGTTTTATTTATTACTCACTTTCTTGTAAGAGAAAAAAAGTTTTTTTTTTCTTTTCAATATCTCCTTTTTTTCACTTTCTCTATAATTAAAATTAAAATTTATACGAGTTAATTTGTAGAAAAACATTTTTATATATGTTTTTAATATTTGTTTCTTTTAAATTCATTATAAGAAAGTTTTTCAGGCTCTATTTTCTAACCAAGGAGATAGAGAGAATGCAAATCCATTTCATTCACCACTGTGAGAAGTTCACCATGTTCAATGATTGCTGTACTTCTAAACAATACAAAACACATCCAATATATACCCATCCCATCACATGCACAATCAGATAAGCCTTTTTCGACAATCATGCACCTCAGATACCCCAAAGATCAATTCTTTGGCACTCATTAATCACCCACAACAAAAGGGTGCAATTACCTTTTCCTGTCTCATTTAGTTCCCACGACGCTAAGAATTTTTTTCCCTAAAATGAAATAACTTTAGCCTTACAACTTAGTCATTTGTTGGTCAGATTTTAGCATCACATGCAGATCATATAATGCATAGTTCTTACTATTTTATAAAGTTTGCCTAATCAAATAACAATACGTGCGATCCTTGCAAAACAAGCAGGAGAATGATGATGATGATGATGAAGGATAGTCAGATAAAGCTATTTCGGATCTTTTCATTGCCAAACAGTGTTAATTGTGGGAATTACATCCACAGAAAATGAAGGATAATATGTACAAGTGGTAACAGGATCATTAGCCTAAATTAGTGCTGTCATTCTCACAAAAACATAGAGTATATCTACGTCAAGCATCATTCAGGCTTCTTTCTCAGAGATTAAAAACTTCAATACCCATTTTAATTAGGCCATGCATCTTCTTTTATCCTCTCTGTCCACCACAAATTTTGTCATAAACTCTTTTTTAGATGTATTGTTGTTCATTTAAGGACTAATAACCATCATGCAAGATCCCGCTCTTGTATACACATACACGAAACAAGTGCGTGGATACGTATAAATAACTTATAGTTGGTAACGGAATATTATATACAAACTCGTTTAACTAGACCATTAAATCAAAGATTAAGAAGCAAAACAAGATTATTATTTCTTGAGTATGAATATTTGAAATATATTGAACATTTAGGCAGAACTCAATCTCATTGAATCAAGTTGAAATAGAATTTACTTACGTATTATATGGCCCTTTTTTTTATTTCTGTGAGTTCATTGTAGTTTGTACATACTATTAATTATTAATGCAAAACCTTTTTTTTTTCTAGTACATGCTCTTATATATAGTCTACTTTAACCTATAGTTTAAATTGAATTTAATTCCATAAAATATCTGATTAAACAAATGGTGTTTCTAACATATTTTAATTTAATCATATTATTAGTATCTGGAATTTAGATTTTTCCATCTCCGTATAATACAATATATTTTTTAATTATCATGGAACTCATCAATGTGATATATATTTTTTTAAACCACTCCTTTAATTTCAAAAAACTCAAGTTATAGTTTGAGTGCCTTCCTTATCAATTTGAAGTCATAATCCTTTTACTTGAACCTCCTATAACTTGTTGTTAACCTAATAATGTGTGACTTAATTAATTATGTACGAAATTATTTGAATTCCCGTGCCGTGGAACGTTGAAAACGCATACGTACAAGATGTTTCTCTCTCTCTCTTCATATTTGTAATTAAAGCGAAGCGCATCTGAACCGAACCCAACACCAAAAACTCACGTCGATTGCCAACTCATGCAAACATAAAAAATTACAACTAAGAAATAATTGCTTGACATTGAGGCGTGGCATACACACATTAGATCTTGGGAAACAATTTTTCCCTCATATTTGAGTTTACGAAAGTTGTATAAGATGAGGATTGGACGATTAAGTTTGAGAATCAACGAAAACAAGGTGCAAAAGCAAGGCCCTTGCGGAGAAAACCAACACAAGATTGCTTGGACAAATGACCATACTCACTAGCATATTCCCCAGAACAGAGAGAAAACTGAAAAGAAAGTAAGATAAAATAAAATGATTGAGATAACCTTAAGAAAAATTGTAGTAGTATTATGAGACTTGCACGAAAACAAAGAAACGACGTGGGGAAAGTAGCACCGAAGCAGAATTAATCATGAAGAGACCCCACCCCTGGGAGCACGTGGAAAAGTGGGGGCATGACATCAGCTTGAGACACGTGTGGTGATAGTAGTGGGCGGTGAGGTTGGAAATCCTGGTACGCAGGGTGACAGGTATAATATGGATGAGTTGTGGGGCCCATGGAGCAGAGAGAATTGTGGTCTCGGGAAGTGGATTGGAGGCATGAGATGCGCCGAGGTGTAGTAAAACACAGAGAGATACCTTTATAACCACGCTTTTTACCCAATCAATCATTGTTGCGCTTCCCAAACCTTCATTAGCCGCTACCATAAATAACTCGGCTCGGCTACTCCCTTAACTCAATCACACTTTTCCCAAAAAATAAAAATATAAATAAAAAAATCGATATGAGCTATTGCCTCTCATATATACCACAGCTGTAATTTACAATCAGAATAATAATATAAAATAAACATACAAAATGTAAGAAACATTTTAAATATATTTAATTATGATAAAAATAATTATTACATCTATGGATAAATATCTCTAAACTCATTGTATATCACCACAGTTTACATTTTTCTGTTAATATATATAATCTCACTTCATCCTGAACCTTTAGCTTTGGAAATATTAAATTCAATAAATCAATTGTATCCTACCTCAAATCATCTACCCTGTAATTGATAGATAAATACAAAAATAAATATACTTAAATATAAAAGAAAAAAAAGCTTAAAATAAAATAATTGAATTAAGAAAATATATAAGAAGATATATATAATTTAATGGAAGAAAAAATAGAATCTAGTTTGTTTATTATTATAAAAAATAAAATTATAGATAATGAAATTCAAATAAGCGTAAAAGTACTTCTTCAATTTTTCTTTTAACTGTTGAGTTTTAGAATTTTTTTATTTTTATTCAATTGTTATTTTTTAAATTAAAGATAATATTACTCTTTTATTATTTTGACTCTTACTTTTTACTTAATAATTAATTGTTTTACACATATATATAACAACAATAAGTATTATTTTTAGCACTTTATATTTGCTTTTAAGCTTTTCATTTGATAGAATGTTTTTATTATTTTGCGTATTACTAAGAAAACCATGTTGTACACGTAAATATCAACTAACGTAGGAGGTTTTTGTTGACTTTTAATGTCATTTTATAACAAGTTTTTGGTTGACTTCAATTTGGATGTTGTTCCCTCCCCTAAATTTACTCGTGCGTTACTTAAAATAACTTTGAACATTTCAAGTCCAATATAAACAATTATGGAGAAGATTATTGATATCCCATCATAAAATATATAATTTAAATTATAAAATAATCATATTTGTCGAAAGGTCGATTGCTACGATTTGAACATGTAAATGTGATTAACTTGTCCGCCAAAGAGCACTAATTGGTCATACTTTTGATTGAGTGATGAATTATTAAGTTATGTCCACAACAAGATTTTCAAATTAACAAATTAGTATAAAATAAAATCATAGTGTAAGTTTGTATTTTTTTCATTTTCTATCTCATCCCTCGTTCGTATCAATGATAGTTCTAGAAATGAAAACACTATAGCAGTATTTTTCTTCTAATTCAAACTCGTGACATGATCTCGTGAAGTCAACACACACAAGTCATTCAACCAGATAAAAAATGACACCATTATATCTACATAAACCATATATATCCCAAACAGAACATAGTATTCAATGTATGTTGCCATCAAGTACACATATTGTTGAGGAAAATTTGTGAATACTTACATGGGAGAAGGAAGACACATTTTTTTTGGATCATGGACCCTTTCATCTTATAAAACGTAAATGAATGCACATTCAAATCATGGTCAGTAAATGTAATGCTTATTTTTCTTCTTTGTAAATTTTACAAAATAAAAGGTCCAAAATAATTGAATTTAATAAACATTAGGGACCACATGTGTCCTGTGTTTCCAAAGATGGTTGTCAATCATTTACGTTCAAATTTTGTGATTAAGTTTTCTTTTCTTTTCACTATTATCCGCTACTATTTAAATTTTAAAATCCAAGGAGGAAACAAAACATTCTTTCGAAATGTTTCCCATTGTAAAAGTATATATATCGTCATAATCAGTGTAAATGGACAGTATTTTATATAAGAAGCTTTTTAATGTGCATTATAAATTTATAATTATATTAATCATTACATAGATTATATTTCTTTTATTTAATAACATTACGATTTTTTTATCGACAGTATTTAAGAAAATTGAATTCATTTCCACTCGGACCAACAACTCATTCACGATGATAAATTAAAGTTAAACAAAATCTAAACAAGAATTAACATTACTTTTCCATATATGCGAGAAATTGTAAAAAGAAAGAAACTTATTTTGTTTTATGGTCGTGACACTACAAAAGAGTCACTAAAGGTTTTTCTCTATACTTATAGATATATATTTTTAAAACTAAATAAAAACAATTGTCCCCAACATTTTTTTATTAACAAACACAATATAATGAGTTTTATAACCCGGATATAAAGTACTCATCAAGCAAGCAAAATTGATCTTTATACCTTTTAATCAACATGTCTTATCACCCCAGTTCAGTTTATGACGAAATCCTAATTAGTGACATTTATTCTATGCTAGTCTTAGAAAAACCTAATACACCATTCTAATTAACACAATTTTCCCGCTTAAAAAATGTTATATTAATAAAACTCAAAATAATCAAGTGTATATTATGCTAAACTATTTTTCACCATAAGAGTATATTTAGTTATAAAATGCAAATTTGAATTTTGAATTTAAAAATAGATTATAAAAAATATTATTATTGTGACATTATATAAAGACCCCTAACTCATAAGTATAATTTTTTATGCATTCCATTTTTTTAACACTTTTTTTTTCAAATACAATTTTTTAACATAATTAGTTGTTATATTAATTATCAAATTATATATATATATATATATATATATATATATATATATATATTAAGATTAGAAATAGATATTATGTTCAAGAATTCGTTAAAATACTTTTTTATCAGATTATTTTACCGACAAGAATGTTAATTGAAAGATTTTTATTAATTAATTTAATAATGTTATTAATTAATATTTTCTTTAAACTTTTTAATATTTAATTTGTCGTTAGATAGAACAATAATACCGATAATCATTTTTTCATGCATAATTCTCATTGATTTTTCGAGAACAAAAAATCCCCAGTGGTAAATTAAGAGGCATTACAGTTGATAGATATGTATACTAACATATGTATAATTATTCAAGATATCTATCCTAGGTGGTTATAAAATCATGTAAAACTATTACTCTTAAAAAAAATTAATGTTTAAAAATAAAACTTATAAGAAAAATATCACAGCGCATTGAATTTAGCTATCTGTGAAATACAAAAAAAATATATAAAAAAGTTTTACATAAATGAGAAACTCGTTCCATAACAATTTGGAGACTCTAAAGATTAAATTATGTCATTTAAAAAAAAAATTGTATATGTTATTTTTATGTGGATTCGTTCTTAAAAGAGTCTTTCCTTCTTAATATAGTGTCTTTTGATTCTTTGGAATTGTCTATTTATGAAAATACATGTAAAATTTATAATCCTTTTTTTTCAAAAAAAATTTGATAAAACAATCTTGATGATGTCATATTATAAAAAAATATTTTTTAAAAGATTTTCAATCCATATTTTATAAAACTAAATTTGGATATTTCTTAAATTAGGGTATGGTTTCTAAATTTGGATATCAAGATTGAATTGATATTAATGAGTAGACAGTGAGTTAAACGTATTCTTAAGTTTCATAATATATATTAAAATAAAATAAATTATATAAAATTTAAAATTAAGTATAGAAGATATAATGTAAATTGTTTTTAACTTAGGTTTTTTTTTCTAATTATTTTCAAGTTATTTGTAATTTTTTTCTCTTAATTATTTTTAAATTAGGTGCATAAACAATTTTTTTCTAATTGTTTTGTATTATAAATATTTGATGTTATGTTTATTTATATTATTTTTCATTTATGTATTTTACAAATAATTCTTATTATTATCATATAATACTTATTTTTGTTATATTAAACATATTTGATTTGTTAAATATTTTTACTTTTTGAGTTATATATAATTTTCTTACTTAGATGATAAAAGTAGATTGAATATATGGAATTTCAAAATAGTGATTAAGATGGTTTAAATAATGAAGATGTTAATACATTTGATGAAAATATTCTTAATAATTATGATGATTATTATCTATAAAAATTGGATTATTATTACTTTTTATGTTTTTAGTTATAATAATTATTTTAAGTAATTTAGAGTTATTGATAAAATTATTTTAAAGTTTAATATATTATAATATTATTAAAATATATTATTTTATTAAATCAGATTTAATTTTAATTTAATATTCTGTTTAACTTTTACCATCTCAACTCCATATATCCAATATAGTTTGATTATGGGTCCAGTTTTAAAAATATTTATTAAAATTAATCCTGTAAGATTTGGAAAACATTTGCTTATAAGTGAGTAATATTATTAAACATTATTATGATAAAAATAAATATTGATACTTATAAAATAAATTACACAATATTTATGATCATAAAATTATAAAAAATCATATCTATCCTTAAAAATCTTTTATTTTGACAATAACTTTAAACATGGAATAGATAAACTCAATTTCTGTTGTAAATATATATGTTAAAGTAATATATTTAATGTATTTTCTTAGTTTAATATAGAGAGAGGTTCTAAGTGTTTAATATATGTGTCTATTAAACTATGTTGTCATCATTTGAAAAGGTTTTGAAAGAAGAAGAAAGTTGTTTCAGAAATGATTAAGCAAAAAATATTCACGTATAACGCATTGATTAGAACAAAAACAGCGATTTCTCTAGTCTCGATGTCTTCTTTGTAAGAAGCTTTTCCTTTGTCAGAAAAAAACACTGCTTATTTTGTCGTTTTCAAATTAAATTTTATTACATTGTGGTAGTGCTATATCACAAATGCTATACACGCTTGAACAATTTTGTACATATAGAAAACTTAATCTTCTTTGTTTTGTATCATACGATTATAAATTATTATCCTTTGACACGCTAAGTTAAAATCATTTAACTTTCTGCCATATGATAGCGATCCACCAGTACTATAACTTTAACCAGGTACGTAAGTGATTACAGTTATTAGTCCTTGATCTTCATTATTATAGTTAATTAACAATGATGAATGATGACACACTACGTAAACCAGATATGTTATGTAGGTAACATTCAGGAACCGCAGCATCAAACCATTGTATATAATTAATTGTATTTGGAAAGTAACGATGCAGAGTACCTGCAGTATATTATTTATTTACCTTTATTCAATCATTTAAATCATGTGCCTAATATTTAAAAAACATGAACTATTGACTTAGTTTAATAAGATGTTTACACCTATATAAGTTTTGGTTTGGATAAACATTAGACCTCAAGATTGAACAATAATATTAAATAATTTAATAGATTCGGAAACATGGAAAAGGGTGAAAATAAATAAAAAATAAAAGGAGAATTAGAAAACGTAGAGGCACAAAACTGAATTTGAAACGAAGAGAAGGCATGTGTAATTAAGATAAGGGCGTAGGTGTGATTTGAAAATGGGATTAATTAGAGAGAAGGTAGAGTAGGAGTTAATTGCAAGAAAAGGAAATGTGATGGTATTAAAAAAAAGAAACAAAAGTGGGACCCAGAAAGGGGAAAATTAGGAGCTGGATTTGTTCACAAAAAATGAGCCGACTTGAATGATGAAACAAACTATAATGACGCCATCTGACAACACAAACCAATCTAAGTGTGCTTCCTACGATTCTAAGGATCCCTTTCCTGTTCTTATAAATAAAACCCCAAACCTTCACTGTTTCATTCCCAAACCTTACTTAACCCCAAAACAATTCATAAAACCATAACCTAACCAAATGGCTGAGGAGTTCATGGAATCCGAGGTTGTCTTCTCCGACAGCACCATCCACGAGGAGGTCAAGGTGCCGCAGCCCCCGCCGCGGAGGCTGCCCAATTCCAAGCCTGTCACTATACCCGAGAGGATGGTTCGAAGGTGGGGCTCCGCCGAGGTGGAAGAGGAGGCGGAGGAGATGACGCCTCCGCACGAGATCTTGAGGCGGAGGGTGGCTGCAAAAATGGCTTTCTCTGTCTGCACTGGGAATGGGAGGACTTTGAAAGGACGAGATTTGAGTCAGGTCAGAAATTCGATCCTTAGGTTGACCGGATTTCTTGAAGCCTGACAATGGAAGATGGGAAAATTAAAAGCAAAATTTAGCTCCATTTCTTGCTTCGTTATTGATTAATTGGTTAATTGGGTTAGCTTGAGATCGTTTTTGGAGTCTCTTTGATTTGTAACAGGGAAAATTTAAAGATTAGAAATTAAATAAATTAATTTATAGATTTTAATATATGCTTTGTTATTTAATTTTATATGTATATAGACTTCTTATATTCTGGGGAGTGCTTGCTTCTGCGATGCTCTAAGGTGTGCGCAGTGCACCCACTTCTCGTTCAATCTTCTCTAAGCACTTCTGGTTCAATTTTTCTCAGAGAAGACAAATTCAAGAGACGTTTTGATTTTCTTGAAGTTCAAATTTCAACGGTCATTGTCTGCATGTGATGAGTTTTCGCCATTAAAATGAAATCTTTGAATAATCTGAGAAGAAGGACAGTGAAAAAGGAAAAAAAAAAAGAAAAAGAAAGAGAGTTTATAAGCACATTATGGTAATAAAGTTTATCACTTGTTTTTGTTTTCATTTAGTTATGTGATTGCCATTTGGTTGAAATTCACTTTGCCAATTATGAGTGTGAGATTAAACTCTAAACAGAGTGATTAATGAGGTACTAATTATATTAAAAGAGCGAACAATCGAAAGACGTTTTAGTTTCAAGATCTCGATAATCTTTTGATTAAGAAATTTAAAATATTTTTTTATTGGAATTTACATTGAAAGTGTATTAAAAAAATATACAGAGATGCATGAATGACACGTTTCAATATATATATATATATATATATATATATATATATATATATATATATATTTATTTTTAACAAATAATATTCTAATTTTAGTTTTTTAAAATACAATTGGTGTTTTAAAATTTTTAAGTTTATCTGTAAAAAAATTGAAGTCCAATCAATGTATGTATTTCAAATATACATTTGTTTAATATATTTTTAACTAAGTATAAATAAAATTAATCATTTGTACGCTACTTACAAGTAACTAGTACCATTTCATTCTACTAATGACATTTAAAAAACGTTTTGGGATTCTATAATTAATTAACATGAAAAATAATTAAAATTTTACTTATGAGTTAGAGTTTTAAAAAAATGTTACTTTTAATCAAACATGGATGCAGTATTTTCGTATCACCGGTGACATATTGTCTAGAATAAAAGTATTAAGTTATTTATGATACTCTTTTTGACCATTTTTATAAAAACAAGTTTGATTTCGATTTTTTTTTATGAAAATTCGTTTAAAATGTTGTCTATATTTTTTTTTCTTCAAAAAAAAAACTATTGTTTTTTAAGAGTTAGATAAATAACAAGTGAAACTCACTAATGTCTTATATTTTTTTAAGTGGTATATTCATGGAGTTTAACTTTCTCGTTTTTTGTTTTGCAGTATAATAATGGAAAATAAATTAATTAATTAAAACTAATAGTAATTGTGAAAAAATTAATTTTAAACAAGTTTAATGCCATTAATTAAAAATTAACTATTGATTAATTTTATAAAACTATTCAATTAGGCCTTACAATAAATAAATAAAATAAATCATTAAATATTTTATAAATTTATGGATTTTAACTTGTAAAAAGGTCAAAATATATAAAATTTTAATAAGATGTTTTATTTTGGATAGATTATATATATAAAAAAAACAATATTGTTAACGTGTTGATTACGATAAGGTTGATAGAAAAGTAATAAACATAGATTATTAATTGTCTCCTATTCTCAATCATTATAGTCTTAATAATTTAATTATGTGATGATAAAATGTAATATTTTGTAACTTATTCGGATATTCCAATTACATCATTTACCATTGATTTTTTTTCTTATATATTTATGCATCTGCTTAGTAAAAAATTTGTTTATATCAATTATTATAATATTACTAATTAATAATTTGACCATGTATCACAACAATTTGTATTTAAATGATAAGTGACCATTAAAATCCAGTGGAAGAGGTATATCAACAATGAATTGGATGGAGACGGTAAGAAGTTGTAAACTACATACAAAAGAATGCAACCTTATCGTCCCTTCTCATGACTGTTCACTTTTAATTATATTTTAAATTTTTTAATACATATAATAATTATGTTATGAAAAAATATATCATTAATGCTTTGAACAAGTGTATTCAATTGAATTGAAATATTGAATAGGTTTGACATGTAAACAAAAAAAATGAAATGATTAAACTGTAGCTAATGAATATGCATAAATATTGGTAATTGAAATGACAAGTAAAAAAATTATTAGTGAAAAGTTTATTCTAAAGATAAATATTAAAATCATCAACAAAGAAAAACAATATCACAATAAAAATTATATTTTAACTCTTACAAATATTTATATGATTGATAATAAGTATCAGAGTAAAGCAAGTACTTGTAACATAGTATCACATTATTTGGATGAACTTGATAAGCACTTTATCATTAATGTCTGAAGGGTACTGATGGACCAATTTATCATAATCAATTGGCTGTGATTTTTTTTATTATAATTCTGAGGATACATTAATTGGTTGTTATTAATAAATACAAAATTGCAATATGTTATTATTTTCCTTTGACTTTAATAGTGATTTTTGGAGAACAAATATTTGTATTTATAATTGTTCAGAGCAGTTAAACGAGACTGTAAACTATCTGAAAAATTGCCCATTACCATCATTATCCTTCCGGTAAGAGACAAGTTGAATATTTTCCATAGTTCACGTATTGTGTTGTTGAATGAAAAAAAATTAGGATAAAGACTTCTGAACGAACTTGAAAAAAACCACAGGGAATTATCCATTGGACAATTCCTTCTATGTTCCAAGCATGCATATTATTAGATAGATAGAAAGAGAGGAAGTTTCGTGCGGGGAAAAGTGTACTAAAGAGTTGGGCTACTTGGCATGATCATTGGAAAGGTAGATGGGAAAATAGTGTAGAAATGATTTTGAAAGTTTGAAAAAAAAAAAAAAAAATTGTTTGACACATAAGTATGAAGATATTCGAGTAACAAAAGGTTTCGCTTTCAGACCTTTATATTGGGATATGATTTATATGGTCCCGTGATAGTCCACCACATTCACTATTATTATTTATTTTCATATTTGGTGTAGGGGTCACTCTTTCTAACTACTTACTTACCTTCCATATTATAAGTGTGAGAACAAACTAGTGTCACTTCTAATAAACTTAGAAATCGCTAATATAATGATGTTTTCGTAAAATAGTAAATAACGATATCTATCTTACATTATATTATTGAAATGGTAACATAGATTGAAATTCCGGTTCACTAACGGAACCTCAAAACATAGTAACATAATTTATTTATATATTATACATGTAAAAGTAGCTCCCTCGAAGCTAACCCACTGAACTATCCATGCTGTCCAGTAATCACATCTCCATCTCTCAACTCCTAATCTGCTCTCATATAAAAGTGATCATCGCAGTCTCATTCACATAGAAAAATAGGGGTAAGTATTAAATCATTCGATATAATAAAATAAATATAGAAGTAATAATTATATATTATGATCAATTACAAAATCATCAACACACTAAGACACCTTCCGAAGTATACCATAACTATGCCCGAACTCGAGGCTATCATCTCGTAGGCATATTGTGATCGGCACCGCAGGCACCATTCCGATCACCCTCCACACAGAGTAGGATTACTGGCGTCCTTCATCACTCATACTAGAGTACCCCTCCGAGCGCGGCACCAGTCATCCCCCCATCGACTTTTCACCACCTGATCTCGTAGTCTACCTGACCCGACCAACCAGTGAAGTTTGGGACCTCATTCAGAATCCTCCGACATAGTTATTACACTAAAGTACTCTGTACCACCCCGGGTACCATTCAAACACAACAACAATTATTCACATTTGCCGGATCCTGGACCACCTGTCCTCACGACTCAATAAATAATAGTACTTGAATGATTTTGGGCACCAACCCTCCGGTTCAGTCTAGCCAATACATAACATCTCATGACAAATTATGGGCATCAACCCTTAAACTCAGTCTGACTCACACACGTCACAACACACTACGGAATCTTTAAAGCTGCTACCTTCATTCTATATTTTAAATATATATATATATATATATATATATATATATATATATATTCTTCTTTTTTTCTTTTTCGAAATCATTTTCGAAATCTTTAAATTACTATTTTGCCCTTAATCTTTTATGAAAATTCCATGTATGTTCCTAAATTACTATTTTACCCTTGGACATTTTCGAAAATTCCTTCTATGTCCCGAAAATGACTATTTTACCCTTGAACATTTTCAAAAATTTCATTTATGTCCCTAGGATATAAAATGACTATTTTACCCTTGATCTTTTTAAAAAATTCCCACCATATCCCTTTCTTCTTCCTTCGCCCAGTAACAGTATCAAAATTTGCATATTTTAACATATTTCAAATTACTTAGTTTTAGACAACCAAACTAGTCCCAAATTCAAATTAAACATGAATTATATCTAATTTAATTTGAAAACAACAATTTTACCATATAATTCATCCTTAATTTTAAGAATTTCAAAAACTTTCAAACGGTGAACAGTTCATCAGAATCAGAAATTCTTCAAAATCATACATTCAAATAATTCATATCTCTACTCCTATTCCTTATTCACAGAGTACTCAACAATTCAATTTTATATATTGAATGAATTAAATTTCCCCTTACCTGGTGTGGTATTTCTACCGAAGCTTTCCCACTTAATTCAAGCTCTCTCCCATTTCACCAGATCCTGCACGAGTAGAGTCTCGTTGCTTTAGACAAAAGAAGAAGAAGGATGAGAGGAAAATTTTGATTCTGTCTCCTCCCCCGTTTCAATATGCATATATATAACAAAAATTTTACTGTGCATGAGGAAAACTTCGTTACGAAGTTTTCTTGCACAGTAATATTATTATAATATATAAAAATCATACGTCACAATCTCCCCTCCACAAAAATTTTCGTCCTCGAAAATGAACTTACTTGAAAATATATATGGATAGAACTCTCGCATCTGATCCTCCATCTCCCAAGTGAAGTCTCTGGATTTCTGATCCCATACTACCTTCACCATTGAGATGGTTCTACCTCTAAGTTGCTTCAGCTGAGAATCCTCTATCTTCACTGGTCTCACATCCACGGAGAAATCGTCTCTAATCTGCACATTGTCTGACTCCAGGACATGACTGATATCATGTACATATTTCCTCAACTGAGATACATGAAATACATTGTGCAGATTCGCCAA